TGCTCTTTTTACTTCTCTCGTCGCCAATTTCACTGTGGTGACCAATGCTCATGACGAAAGTGGGTGGATAGAAAATTAACCCGCGGTACAACACAGCAAAGTTATATATTTTTATTCACATTAAAAATCTAACATGTCACTGAACGTACAAAAAAAACTAACTGGAAGCGTCAGTTGGTACGCTTGTTTTTTTCTCCAGTGGAGACCTCTTAATATTCACTACAGTATTGAACATAAATTTTTGGTTTAGGAAGTTCTGAGGAGTGATTTGCGTGTGAGTGTTAATGTATTTGTCCATATACCATGTTTAGTTCAAGTTCATATCTCATGATATAGGGCCACATGGAAGAGCAGTGTATATCGCACTGAATGTGGTCCTTTTTCCAATCTGAATGTACTTTTTCTTTTTCCTTTTGTACTATATGATGTTCATTGGAAATAAACATTATTATTATTATTATACAGGGCGTTTCAAAAAGAATCATCCGATTTTGTAGGCTTTCTGTTGTTTAGACGCCATTTTGACAATAACTGAGCTGGGCGTTGAAAGAAGCGCGCTACTGCTACCTAGCGGAAACCACGCGAAACTCGAGAGCTTCCTCTTACTAACAGTACATTGCTCTATCAAATCGGACTTGTAGATGAATAGCAATAAATTTTTAAAATCGGATGATTCTTTTTGAAACGCCCTGTAATATCAGCAAGATTCTGTTTTGTAAAAAACGCGATTACACAATCATATTAATGTTTTCAACGAATGAGCAATTTTAGACTCACTCCACATACCTTTTGCGACGAATCGCAAAAACCATGTACCTTAAATTTTGAAACTGCCGGAAGGTTCTTCTTTGTATCATCTAGAATCCTACATATATAACCTGTTATAGGCAATTCTTTGCCTCATCAGTCATCACATCTAATTTGAAATTGAATCAATATTTAGCTAATGAACATTATTGGACCCAGCACGCCATACATTTTTGAGATGATCGATAGTAATATTTTCTCTTCGCGATTTCATTATTGGCTATTTAGATAATTTTTATCACACACTTCATAAAAATAATGTTGTCTAATCTAATCCTTGTGAAGTTTATAATTTTTTCTACAATCGATATCCAAAGTAGGCATTTGCGCTCGTATTTGACAACGCAAACGTAATCTTTTTCGAGGAATGTCACTTTGTCGCTTATAAGCGACAAAATAGAAAAAACGCTCGCTCTCCCAATTATTAACTATAAATCAAATATGCATTGCTCAGAGTATCCAATGACAACGAGCAAATGACATCTCTCATTTGGGCATAAGATTAAAATGATTTGAGTGAAAAATTTAAATTTTTGGAAATATGTGAACTGCTCGATTGTAGAAAAAACCTTGTCTGTAGGTAATTCGAGCGCAAATTGATTGTCGATTTCAAGAGATTGCCGCGCTCCTTCGTCGCGCGTCAACTGTCTCTTTCAATCGACAATATATCATTTTGCGCTCTTAATAGACAAATACCTATTTTTGTTGCGCAATTTCCGTCTCCGAAAAGAGAACAATCCAGGCAAGTTCTAATGGTACGGTAGCATTAGTACTCCTTGTCTTTCCCTTTTTTAATATTTTCTCTTCGACCTCTGTAAATAAATAAAATAAATAAAGACCTGTCACAAAGCGTCAAACCATTCATTTCGTCTATCAATCGTTCGTTTTAGGAGAAATGGATTTTTGATTACTTGATGTTACAAATGTGTCTTCTGAAGAGAAGTTTTGGTATCTTGCTTCATTCTCAAATGTTTCCTGTAATTTACACGACAGGTGAAATTGAGATTTGTTGACACAAAGCATAAACTTGTAATTTCTTTTTTTTTCATGATTTTTGTTGAACTTGACATTCATTTGATTAAGTACTGTTAATCGATTCCTAGAAATGATAGAGAAGTGCAAGACAAGTTCCTACTTGTATATGGTTCCCTATATACTACTTTGCAACAGTTCTTTAATAAGTGACAACCACGTGCGGTAGTGTACTAAATCCCACGTCTTGGTATTCTTGAGATTGAAAATGTCGTCTTCTATCGCCTCTTCCCATTCCTTATTCTCGATAGCTGTTTCGAGCTGTTATGTTTCCTTCTCGCTCTGATCCCATAATCGGTAACCATTATTAATATACCCCATCATTATAGCATCGGTTTGCTACATTCCTTCATTTTTCCTTGTAACTCCATTGGAATATGCGAATAGGCTGTTGATATCTGAGTATAAGAACGGAACTAGACTCAACTGTTGAATGAAGGAATCGAGACTCAATCGTTGAGTGAAAAATTAATATTCAATGACTCAACTTAATCTCATAATTTCTGCAGGCTCGGCGTAGGGCCAGGTTCAAACAATTTTGTGTATCAAAAACCCGTATTTTATGGCTGGGGTTGCATCCAGTAGAGATCCAATAAATTTTTAAAATTCTCAAATTTTCACTCTTGTACATAGTAATGGAATGTTGCTAATACCAAAGAGTAACAGTACTCTTTGCTAATACACTATTTTGTTCTCCGAAAGAGTATGTTCTACCTAAGGAGAAAGTCATCTAGAGAAACAACAGAAAGTAGTAAGCCTTTTTCTCTAAGCAGGCTCACAACTGGGTGTACCTGTACATACAGTTCAACCCAAAGGGTAAACTATTCAATTCGTATAGCCTACCATTGAAACGCAAACAAATATTTTTTATGGCTGAGGTGAATGAGTATTATATAATATGCATCTTTTAGATGCACAGATTTCGGTCTAAACGCCAAAAATAATGGCGGGACACACTGTATATAGGAATATTTCTATTTATTAAATAAACCCGGGGGCATTATTTACGAAATTAGCACAGAGTTGGTTCGTTTCATTTGAATTTGTATCCCAGTGTGTCTTTTAGAAATCTTTTTAAATGCATAATTCTTATTTCAATTTTACCTCCTTTATAATTTACTCAATTTAGATAAGGTGTTCGAAGTAAAACACATCTGGTCGAATTTGCGTGTTTTATAAAGGTTACCTACATTTTGTCGTTTGCGGTAAGGAGTCTTATCAGGCGAAAATTAAATAACGCACGTGTTTTGTCGCTGTGAAGAGATAACGCAGAGATGCAGGGGTTACGAAGAATTGCGCGTTTCACATTAGATTTGTGGGAACGTTTGACGCATCCCGTAGTGATTGGCTAGTTATTCTATTGCGGTAAGTGGTGTTTCCCTAAATACTGGAGACAACGATATCTAAAATCAAACTTTAATGCGAGATTTATGTTATCCGCTTCCTTGCTTAATTAAAAGTGATAACAAAACCAGAGCCGGAGATTGCAATTGACTCAATCGTATGTTTTTATTGCTTCTGATAAGCCCAATTTCAACAATTTGTTCAGCTAGAGTGTGAATCGGAAAACACTTTTTCCATATTGTCATCTTTGCCTAACAGGCTTAAAATATCTGGTGGAAGTACATTCACAGACTCGTCTTCTCTAAGTTCCTAACTTGTTTCATATGCCAAACCAGATAAGCATAATGCCTTACGCAACCAAAAAGCTTTAAATCTAGGAAAAGGCGGTCCGCGGTATTACGTTTTAAAGATCAATTTAATAATGGACTAACTGAGTTCACTGTCAGTTTGGGCTAGGCCTATGAACGCTACCACCCTAGGCAGGTATTTTAAAAAATTAACAAAGGCAAATAGGTAGGTGTAATGTAGGTTTACCTTTCTCGGCGAACTAACTGTGCTCACTGATAGTTTTATGGAGAAAAACGCATTTCAACATTTGCTTTCCCTGATTAGCAATCCATCAAATGTCTACCTGCTACTATCACATTAATACCAGAAAGGCCAAGCCAGAAGACATCTAACACGTGCTCCTGGTGGCGAGAATAGCGCCCTGCAACACGTACTTACAGAGGGGACAGGAGACGAAGGCCAAGAAATCTGGAGTTGCCTTAGCAAATGGCAGCGGGTAAGTACGTGCGTGCCTACTCGTTGCGGTTTTTCTAACGGGAAGCAGGCGCACTACAATTTTATTTACGAAGCCAGACCGAAAAAAATTGTGTAAGTAAAGTTCATGTGTTTTACGAGAATCGTTTTTTATTCCACTTAGCATATTCTTTATTAAATTTCAGTTTTTAGGAGTCTGCCTTGAATGACACTGTAAATTTCCGATGGAAGGAAGAAACGTTTGCATTAATGAAGTTAAAAGTTCCACGAGGTGCGGGTATAATTTGGCGGTAAAGCTTTTAGAATTTATAATAACTTACTTAAAAGTGAAGACAAATACATAGAAGGTAGTACGAAATTTGACAGTTATTGAATTAATTAGTGGATACTAATATAGGTAGGGGAGAGTTGCTCAAAATAGGATAGTCGTGCAAAACCGGATACGGGGTGTAATATTTAAACGTGCAGCGATATCTGGTTGCAGGTATGAAAATCTATTTGCCATAGTAGATTCCTTCATACTGCAGTTAAATATCTTTGTAATATCCCGCTAGAGGGCAGACTAACAAAAACACAAGCAACGTTAGGTTTAATCTAAAATGTTATCTCGTGTTTACATCTAGTGTTTCGTACTATTCCTGGGAGCAAAAAAAAGTGGTGAGTTTTTTTTATAATCTACTAGGAACGCCATTTAAGTCAGTGAACAAAATTTAGCGTCAGTGTGTGTAGTAAATGAGGTGTGATTTTTTTTTATTTTACTTGTAGTGGAGCTCAAAACCGGATAGGTTATGGTTGTTCAAAACCGGACATATCCGATTTTGAGCTACCGTATTCTACAATGTGTATTATTATGATTTTATGACATTTCCTTTATTTACTTAGAATGAATCAATATGGGGAAATACAAAAGAAAGTCGGAAAGGCAATCATGGAGTGAAGTGAGTATGGCAAATGCTGTGCAAGAAGTACTAGAGGGTAGGATGGGGTATTTAAAAGCTTCTATGGAGTTTGGCGTTCCTCGTTCCACATTAGAGGGAAGAGTAAGTAAGGTCAGGAAAGGCCTTCTTTCACGAAAAAACGCAGCAAAAAAAGGTTTGGGGCGTTATAAAGCAGTTTTCACGGAAAAACAAGAAGAAGAAATGGTAGAACACATATTGGCAATGGAGAATCGTTTGTTTGGTTTTACTCTTAAGGATTTACGTAAAATGGCCTTTGACCTTGCTGTGCGTAATAAGCTAACCCACCAGTTTAATATGGAAAAAAAGGCAGCAGGTAAAACGTGGCTTTACCAGTTTTTGAAAAGGCATCCAAAACTTTCATTAAGAACTCCAGAACCAACATCCATAGCCAGGGCAATAGGTTTTAACAGATCGGCCGTTCAAAAATTCTTTGCTCTTCTAAGTGAAATCTATAAAAATTACGATATAACCCCGGATAACATATATAATGTAGATGAAACCGGCATAATGACAGTGCCAAAAAAAAGGTCCAAATGTCTGGCATTAAGAGGCAAAAAGCAAGTTGGATGCTTGTCTTCCGGCGAACGGGGAGTTCTTGTGACAGCTGAAACGTGTATGTCTGCGGCGGGAGTTTTTATGCCACCGATGTTCGTTTTTCCTAGGGAAAGAGCCAAACCAGAGTTTTTGGATAACGCACCCCCTGGAAGCACTGCTGCATATCATTCATCTGGGTGGATGCAAACAGAGATTTTTCTTAATTGGTTTAAAAAGTTCATTTCATTTTCGAATCCAAGCAAGGAAAACCTGTTCTTCTTCTGCTGGATGGTCACGCAACCCATACGAAAAGTCTAGCACTGATAGAAGAGGCAAGAGAGAACAACGTCATACTCTTATGTTTCCCTCCCCACACAACCCATCGATTACAGCCCCTTGATGTCAGTTTCATGTCGCCAGTAAGCACGTATTACACGGAAAATGTTCAACGATGGTTACAAACACATCCAGGTAGAGCGGTAACTATTGCCCAAGTAGGAGAGCTTTATGGTGCTGCATTCATGAAGGCAGCATGCGTCCAAACTGCAGTCAATGGTTTTAAGAACACTGGTATTTACCCACTCAACCCGCAAATATTCCCTGACTGGATGTTTGAACCTTCTGAAACTACCAACAGGCCCATGGAAGAAGCAACTCCACGTTCAGTAACTCCGCAACCAGCACTGCAACTTCCAGTTCCAGAGCACAGAACGCCATTAAAGGCATTATCTCAAAATCGGATAAATCCTTCGCCAACGGTACCAGAAAACGACCAATCTCTAGATGATCTTTACCCCCCTTCTTGTAGTAATGCTTCGGCTTTTACAGTCACTCCTAAGCAGGTAGTTAGCATTCCGCAAGCGGCAGAACGAAAAACCAATTTAAACGACCGAAGGCGGGGCAAAACGGTTATTTTAACATCTACTCCTTACAAAAAGGAACTTGAGGATACACTTGCGGCGCGTTCGGGACAATCTTCAAAGAAAATGCCAAAACGGAACCTCGAAAAAAAATCAAGCAAGCAAACTAAAACGGTTTCCTCTACTTCCACACACAAAACTTGTAAAAAGCAAGTAGCTCTTAAACCAGCTCCTAAAGTAGACGAAAGCGGCTCTTCCTCCTCTTCGGAGGGAGAAGAGGACGGCGAAACCACTTGCCTCTATTGCAACGAGTTATTTTCCAATTCCAAATCAGAGGAAGGGTGGATCAAGTGCCAGAAGTGCAATCTCTGGGCACATGAGCAATGCGCCGGCATTGAGCCTAATGATGCCGATGTGTACGAGTGTGACTTTTGTCATTAGTTAACAGAGATGTTTAGTTATAATAATAACAATAATAAGGATGTATTACTTTTTTCATAGTATGTGGTATAATTAACTTGATGAATTTAGTATCCTGTTTTGCCCAGTACTACTGTCCGGTTTTGGAAGACCAGTCGTACAAAATCGGATACTTGTTACATTTTAAAAAATTGCATTTTTTTTCAAAAACAAAATATAGTGACGCTCATTATATATGTTTTGGTAAAAGTATAACACTTAGTAGTTTCACAGACAGAAGATAGCGATCATCAGTTAGGTTATTCCCGAAATATTAAAAATCTTTCAGTAAGTATCCGATTTTGAGCTACTCTCCCCTACGCTTGTGACATTTACCAGACACGTATAGGTAAACGAAAAGCGCTTACTTTGAGAACCCGACGCCTTGTTCATGTATTTGGAATCAAAGCGATTATTCAAAGTACCTACCTTGATTATGACATTTAGAACGCCACATACCTGTAATGAACTGTTTTCCTTTTACATTTTTGAATAACACCGAACACAAAGTAATTAATTAATCATTATTTTCGAGTGCTGCGTTGCTCGCACATGTTTTTGGATGTCGAAAACTTGGATTTTTGACATCCATACTCAGCCTAACAATAATAGTATATTATATACCGCGGGACTGAAGTCGTACTTTTAATCCCGAAGGTAAAGTTTATGGCCCGACCGAAGGGAGGGCCATAATTTACCTGAGGGATTAAGACCACTACTTCAGTCGCAACGTATATACGATATTTTTCGTACTTCCGAAACTTAAACACTTAATATTATGGAGTTAGAAAACGCGTTCTTTCAAAAAATCGTTGCTTAACAAGTTACCATAGGAACGTTGCGTTGGTACGACAAACCCTATGCTATGGTAACAAAAATAATTTGGAAACTGTCATTGCTATAGGGTTTTCGCTATAAATAGCGTTGCACGTCATCAACAGAAGAAAATGGCATGCCAATTTAAATCAAGATTTGACGGATTTATATTCATTATTATTTAGTTACTTTTTGGGAGAATAAGTTGGCAGATTCGAAATTTTTTTTACAATGTTGCCAAACGTTATTTGTAATATTTGTTGACATTTGACACTTTTGTTCGGTTTTTGCGTGTGAAAGTTTTCGGTTATTCTTGTGGTTGTTGTTATTATTTATCTTCACTCTTAGTGCAAAAAAATGTGTTCTGTTCAGAACAAAATTGCTGTTTGTGTACATTCTACCGTTATTTGCATTTGTACTCGCCACAATGCCGAAACATTTGACCAGTAAAGTGAAGGAACTCCTGACTCTTTAATTCAATATTTTGAACAGGAACGAGATAATGGGGGTTCCTTATTACCATTAGGTTCAGTTCGAGAGGTAAGAATGGTTTCAATTACTTCTGACTACTTCCACTTAATTGTGATTACCTTCAGCGCGTTGCGGCAGCATTACATTTAAACATTTCTACGGTCAGCAGAATTTCCCAAGCTTTTAAACAAAACGAAGCTTTGATATCGCAGATCTTGTATATGCATCTAAAAGTACTGGCGATTACCACGGAGAAATGAATCGTGAAAACTTTTTACATTAGTTTGAAAAACAATTATTAGTAAATTTAGAAGAACCAAGTGTTATCGTATTGGACAATGCTTGTTACCACAGCACCTTATTGACACAAAATCCGAACAACTCATGGAGAAAAGCAGATTTTCAAGATTCGTTACACAATAAACTTGCACTTGCGATTGTAACCTCAGAAATGTGGAAAAATTCAATTAATCACACCGAAAAGTTAATAGAGGAATGGTATGAACGCGAAAAACAATTGGATATTGCAGAAATGGCCCCAATTATAAACTGGGTGAATGATAGTTGAGTGATGACGATTAACTGGACAATAATTAAAACTGCAATTACCTAAGTCACGAGAACTGTGTATTAAAATTTATTTTGTTTTATGTTAACAAAATGGAATGTTACGTAGTCTGAAAAGTATCTTTCACCTTTTTACGATCATATCAGTTTATGTTAATTATCATTTTATGTACTTAGTTCAATAAAATTTCTTGTGTTTTTGTCTCGGTTGAACTTACTAGTCTCAAATTCCACTACAGCAAGAGTTGGTCAAATAACGTAAAATCAGTCAAGATTTCAAGCAAGCATTAACTTGATATTTATTTGCTGATGGCCTATGCAATGGTTTCCCTAGTAGCACAAAATATTTGTTAAATATTTCTCTAATATTTAATAAATATCATATGTTGCCTAAATATATACAAGATTAAAACAATATTTCTCAAATATTGCGAAATTTATATATATACATAATATTAAATGAATATTTCTAAAATATTATCTGTAGACATCGGGCGCAAAATATTGCATTTTTAGTTATCGATCCAATAACAATAGATTTTTTGTATGGATGCCAAATAGAGTTTGCAATAATTGAATAATCGAAGGTCATTTACATTTTCTAAATATTAATGACATGTTGTTAAAATATTAGGAAAGAAATATTTAAATCTCACAAATAATTCATATTTAAAAATATTACGCGCGCGCATGTGTATTAATCACACACTGTTCAAGCCGGGTTGGAATGCGCTAAATAAGCACTTCTGTAAAGACGCGCCTACGTTTTGTGTATTAATGGCGGTTCGTTTTGTTCGTGGTTTTGTATTTGTCGTGCATGTTTTCGTTTTAGGTTAAATACCTGCGTGATTTAGCTTTATCGTATTAATAAGAGTAAGTAGTCTTTTGTTAAATGCGACAAAATGTATATAACATTTCTATTGTGTTTGTTCTAGGTTAGGTACTCTCACAGATCAAGTATTGTGGCTTAAAAAACTTGCCAAAAAGGTTCTTTTAAGTAAGTAGGTACTTTTTAAGTGCTTTCAATACCGATAATTATTATTAGTACATGGTGGCTCATCAGTAACGATAGCAAAAACATGGCAAGCCACAGTCGATACTGTAAGAAATATCGGTATATTAAGAAACAGGTAGAAAATAGTGTAACTTCACAAAGTGCCGAATTAAATCAAAGTGACCAGGAATGTGAATCTCATACATAATTATACAACACTGAAATTGATAAGATCAATCCGATTATCGACACCGAACAATTCTGTAGTTCTGCGGGTAGTTCTGCTTATCCACCTGAACTGCCTTCAACATCCACAACTTTCACGGTAAACAGTTCCTTTGATGATCCAATTCCTGTAACTGAAACTAGTGGTTCACAATTATGCACAGTGAATTTAAAGGAACGTAGTAGCACATTTCAAAATTTTATTAAATCTTGGGCAATAAACAAGAATGTCAATTTAACTCAGTTAAGTACTTTGTTACAAGGTGTCAATAGAATCATTCCTGAACTTAATTTGCCTAAGGATGCTCGCACGATTTTACAAACAAGAAGAGAGTTGAAATTCAATAACCTAAAAAGCAGTAAAGGAACTACATCTCAGTTTTCGTATTTAGGAATATCTTATATGCTTAAAGAGTATTTGAATGACAATTATTTACAGATGAGAATTTTAGAAAATGGTTATATTAGTCTATCTTTTAATGTTGATGGATTACCTCTCTTTAAAAGTACAAACCAACAACTGTGGCCTATTTTATGCCGTCTTCATTTAAAGTGTGCAAATTTAAAACCTTTTGTGGTAGCAATTTTCTGCGGAGACTCAAAACCATTTTCTTTAAGTGAATATTTGGATGAATTTATCGTGGAACTGAATTATTTACTTGAAAATGGATTTCGACACTACAATGTCGTTATTCCAGTTAAAGTTTTATGTATCAGCAGTGATGCTCCTGCAAGGGCGTTCCTTAAAGGAATTAAGGGGCATAATGGATTTTATGGTTGTGAACGTTGTGTTCAAAAGGGCAACTACATAAATAATCGAATGGTTTATCTAGATACTGATAGTCCTTTGAGAAATGATTTTAATTTTAGAAGGAAATTATTTCCAGAACATCATGTAACAGAATCTCCACTAACACGTATAAGTAGCTTCAATATGGTTTCCGGCTTTCCACTTGACTATATGCACTTGTGTTGTTTAGGTGTTATGAGAAAGCTATTAAATTATTGGATACGTGGTAGTACGTTGCAAGATATGGTTAGATTAAGAGTTAATTTAAGAATACAGCTCTCAAAGAGATTAGAGTATTATGCCAAATTTATGCCTAATGATTTTAATAGAAAATCTAGATCTTTAAATGAGCTGGATAGGTTTAAGGCTGTAGAGTTTCGGACTATACTATTATACTTAGGACCAATAGTATTAAAAAATATCTTATCGACAAAACTTTATGAGCACTTTCTTTTATTTCACTGTGCAATGCGTGTCTTGCTGTTGCCAGAATTTGTGGATACAGAGTGGATCAATACTGCTAAAGAGATGCTTGTTCATTTTGTTGCACAGATTAAACTATTGTATGGTAATGAAGCGAGCATATATAATGTCCATAGTTTAATTCATTTAGCGGATGATTGTTTATATTTCAAAGAAACGTTAAATGAAGTGAGCTGTTTCCCCTTTGAAAATTATTTAGGAAAATTAAAATATATGTTAAGACGGCCTAATCGACCAGCTGCACAAATATGTAAGCGATTATCTGAAACTAGTTATATTAACTATGACAGGTTGGATAATGCAAATTCGTTTGTAGTGCACAACAACACCATCTCATTCCCAAAATTCAAAATTTCACTAAATAAAAAAGATTGTTTTGTTTTTTTGAACAGCAGGAACATTTTCAAAATCACAGAAATTGTAGATGAACTTTATGTTGCAGGATTTATTTCAAGTGAATTAAAAAACTTGTATGATTACCCAATACCTTCCAGTGAATTGGGAATTTATAAATTTAACGCCTTTAGTCATATACATATGGAAATCATTCCGATCACGCAAATCAGTGGAAAATGTTTTGTAATTTCACAGAATGGTCATTTTGTGGGCATGATTTTACTGCATTTAATTTGTTAATTTAGATGTAAAGTTATTGTTGTACTGTATTGATCTGTTTTAGTTGGTTAGTCGATTGTATAAAACATGTGGGATATAATTATCTGGAAAAATGAAAATGCGATTGATTTTGTACCGTGCAATTGGGCTAACGAAAATAACACAATGTATAAATATCCCTTGGGAATGAGTGAGACAAAAGTGAGAGAAACAATTTATGAATGCAAAGAGTTATGTGAAAATTATAAGTGGTGCGATGTCGAGTTA